GGAGAAAAACATCGCCCCATCACTCGGCGACGAGCTGATTGTGCGTGGGTCCTAGAACGAATAATAGCAATCTGTATTGTCTCGACACTCGTCTAACGTGACACCGATCGAGGGGCGGGAAAGCGAACTACGGCAGCAACGGGGCTTCCACTATGCCCTAAGAGCCGAGAATGTGAGTGCGAGAGGGTCCCTTCTACCACCCATGGAGGGCGCTGAGTATTCCTAAAGGAAGAACTCAGTAACCTTTTTATCGTGAACCGTGCCTTTAAGGACGCCATACCAGGGAGCATGCTTCAGACTTGGTATCAACGAAGTGCGGTCATTGGTTTCCAGCCGTCACTCTTCTCTTAGATTCCGGTGACATAGTATCCTCGCACTGAACTCAAGCTGTTCGCGGATAAAGAGCAACTCATAAAAACCTATTTCAGAGAAGCAAACAGACATGCGTATAGAAATCATTTTGCTGACGTTGAGCGGTGCAATACCCTCAAGTTTGTTCATAAAAGAACCAAATTCACAAAACTTCCATTTCAGTGTTGCATCAATGCATTTCAGTGCTTCATAAAGTCACCTCTGTTCATTTTCTGGGTTACTTTGGCACTAAATTCATAGTTACTTCGTGTCTTTAATAAAAGAGATGAACCGAGGCCTGAGTCGCCGTAGAATCAGATTCGATCGGGTCTTTGTAATATCAAAGTCCCATCAAGGTGCTTTCAGCCTAAGAAGCTGGGTCCAAAAATGGATCACTGAAGCGACCTATGCTCCATCAGTTACGAAACCTTTGTTTTGACGGCCTTTGTAAATATATAATCCAAAGGCGGCTACGATTGGGTACGAAATGGCTCTGTTAACGAAGAAGACGGCGATAAAGATTCAGGCCTTTGGCGCATGTCAGACCTGCTGTTGAACATGGAGCAGTCGTTTTCAACTTGTGAGATAAAACTGCTGCGCATGATATTCGATGGTTAGAGCTACGTTTTTTTTGTACGGTGGTCGAAGAAGTGAGAGCACTGTGCTACATCGTTTCTGTCTCAAGAGGAAGAAGCTCAGCTTACAGTAATCGCAAGGTCCTTGTGGTATGTGCGGTCTCTCGAAACCAATTTTGTATATTGCTATCTTCTGCTACTAAGAGGATCCTTCGTGCTAGACACAACTCAAGATTCTATTTCCTGACAATAAGAGCTGGCGCAACTTACCTATGTAATATGTAGTCCTTTATATTATACATCATGCCGTAGTGTTCATTTACTCTGTTTCAAGAATTTTAAGACAACCAGCACCTTGTGTTTGTAAATCTGCCCTGGTTCAGGGTCTACTCTGAATTGTTTTAAATGATCGCTTCCTCTGACTAATATGTATGTATATTTGCTTCAGCCTTTCCAAGATTATAAACTTTATAGGGCTGACGTTTCGGCGAGATCGCCTTCGTCAGAGCCTAAAAAGTCGAAAATCAAAGGAAAAAACCGATTGTGGTATATTCTACAAGATCGCTTCCCCATTTCATTCATTCCCCATACATAATGAAAAAACTAATTTGGTACATATCTTAGTGCATAGTATGCAGCAGTAAAAGATACTTACCTGACGACAAAATCCCACTATGCCCTCATGTGTCCACGCAACACGAAATCCTTCTTGGAGTCGTCTTTGCATAAGTACGCTTAGTATATACTCGGCTACGACTCGTGTAGTTCGATCACTAGTAACGTTTAATTGCGGCAAACTCCAGATACGACGCCTGGAAGCAAATCCTAAGTTGGAAACTCGCTATTTTAATTACTTCACTAACTGAGCCCCTTTTGATGATAATGGACCCTATCTTGCGAGATACGTCAACACAAAAGGGATAATATGGCCTTCCCGCCTGAAGCGGGATTCTGAAAAAGATGTGAACCCACATTCTCGGTTCTATTCAGTCTTTCCCACTATAACTCAACAACTGGTGATCAAGACCAAGGAGTCATGGATTTGCTTGATATCCTGTCCCTGATGCAGCGCCAGATGGAACGTCATGACGAAAGACTTGAACTCATGCAAAATCATCTAAGAAATCGCCGACTCGTCCTTTGAAACCTGACCAAATGGAGATAAGGACAGCTGCAGCGGCTCCTACCGTTGATGAGCCCAGCATCTTTGACTTTGTTCGCAGACGCACAGACAAATTCATCTACGATGCATAAAATGGGAAGATGTTCGACAAATGGTACAAACACACCAAAGTCGTGTTTGCCACGACAGTGCGGAGCTAAAATCAAGAGATGACTTAGCTGCAGGTCAGCCGCAGGACGAAACGGTCGTAAGCTTTTCTGCGCTTCCACTGCATCAAACTCCTCGTCCGATTGGACGAGGGATGAAGCCGTCGCCACGATGGATAATCTTTAAGGACCTCACTGTCGAGTGCCAGTTTATGAACCCATACAAGAAAGATACAAAAGTGCGGAGAACGCTCCTAGTCCCAATACTGAAACCTAAAAGTCAGCCGATACTGGCTAGTCACTAAAGGTTTGGGAGCGAGAACTGATAAGTCGATCGAACCTCCTCAAAGAAGATCACATTGATCAAGGAGGTGAAACTCACGTGACGGTTTGAACCAAGAATTCAAATGGAATTCTCGTTTCCGAAGCTGATCTAAACCCTCATTGAGATCCAATCTGTGTAAAATGAATTTAATCAGAAACCATCGAAAATTCTCCAATTGTTAGAAAGCTTGTTTGAGGAGGACGTAATCTAAAGAAGAAGAGGAACGGAAGAGTGCTCCATCGTAGTTCGTGGAGAATTCGGAGTGCTTCTTCTTTATTTTCTCGCATTCTCTTCCATTCGTTTGTCGATGATATACCACACTCAACTTCGTTAGGTATTCAACTTTCTCAACAGATAAGACGTGAAAACAAGTGCCACACAAGAAAATGATGAAACTAGTCGGTTCCTGGAGGCACCTAATCAAATCTGAGAATCTAAATGATGTTGATTACGGATGAGCCCAACATCCCTATTCTATGAAAGTGGTCGATAAACCCAGGTATTGGAGTTTCTAATATTGAAGATGATAACAGAACATGATCCCAAAAGTTCAGAAAAAGAGTTAGCCACTATATACTAAAGTCAACTTGTTTTCGTTAAAAATTCACTAACTAGTTACCCTCTTTTGAGCTTCCCTGAGTGGGTCTTCTTCTCTTTTTGACACAGTTATTTTTAGTACCAAACAGCGCGTAATCACCAATAATTTCATTCCCTAATGATTTCTGTGCCCAATTTCAATGTTGCTCGCAATTTGTGCTGTGCAGTTCAACTTTTGTATTCGCCCCCTAAAACTTCTTGCTTTTTTCACTTATGCTTAATAAACCCTACGAAAATCCCCGTTGTAAATGCTCCTTTTTCCCTGACGGCTACCACCTTTAGTGCTCCGAATAAACGGAAAGGACTATAGGACTGGATGGCTATGTGGACTTCCTAGCAGATCTCTAGCCATTAAACAACTTTGGGAGTGTTTTATCACTGCCACGCTTGCCCACTTGACTTCGTGTGTGTGCATCAATTCTCGCGGATTTTTGCGTGCGAAAACATATTCTTTTCGAAAGCAAAACAAAATATACATCAACCAATGTATTGCAATTGTTAGCTACAACTTCTTGGGATCTTTCTGGTAGCTTGTTGATCACGTGTCTGAAAAAAGTCTTCATTTATTGAGGCAAACATCAACCCATTTCCGCACTTCTTCGGAATTTGGGAAACCTCCATCTGCCAAACTGACCTGCATTCCCCGGGATAAGTGGTGATACGGCGCTAGATCCACGGAGTATGCGTGCTGAGCAAGCTGGTCCCACCCAAGATCTGTATTTCTTACAAGAATTTTTTGCAACATGCAGACTAGCGTTGTCATGGTGGAACAGCTCCTTATGATGTTTTCTTGCTATTAACGACCTCTATTGGCTGAGAGCATCCGACAAATCGTCATGCTGATGTTCGTAGCGGTTGCGGCAACAGTTTTGTTTGAATTCAGCAGCTTGTGTCACACAATACCCTTCTGATCCAACACAGAGTACACAGCATCGCTTTTTGGCAGTGGATAGTCCACTTTGGCTGTAAACCGTTGTTAGGCCTGATCCACATATGCTGTTTTCCCTCTGTGATTATCGTAGTAGATTAGTCATTCATACCCCGTCACAATTCGGTGAAGAAAATGTGTCTTTTTGTGGTGTTCAAGGTTTTTAATGCAAGTCTTCAAGCGTGCTCCAACTTTTGTGACAGCTAATGAGGGATCCCTTTCCTAGCATTTCAATCTCTGCCATTGCGTGCAAGCGTCTGAGCACGGTTACAACGTTTAACTCCATTGCCAGCTCCTTTTAGTGTTGTTCTGGATTCTCATTCAGCAATGCTGATTATCCTCAGACTTTTCGGCTTACCTAGACGTTCCTTCCTTTCAAGCCGGAATCTCACTTGCAAGAAGTTGAAACCACTCTCTGCAGGAACCTCCAGACAGAGCTTGTTCTCCAAAAGTATCGAAAAACATCCAGTAAGCTTCACTGGCAGTTTTCTTGAAACAAATAGTAGAAGAGGACCCTTCGGAGCAACCACTTATCACCTTCCACGTTCAACCAGTTTTAAAGCAACGGGATTGGGTGCGGAACTAATCTGTCTGCCCTTAGATTGGTGGTCGACACTCATTTTACGACCACTCCCACAGGTGAGGTGAAACTACAACATATTGGCGCATTGAGCCTATAAATTTGGTGAGGAAAATAATGCACACATCTAATACCATAGAAGCGGTAGAATGCCGATTATCAACATTTTATATCCAGCCCACATGTGAAGAAGAACGTGCTTCCCTCGCTTTTCACGGATGTCATTATCGATTAGGTAACATATGTATACTTCCTGAGCTTACCTGTTCATCATTTTAGTTTGATTCAATATTTCACAACGCGAGGTGCAATCAAGGAAACTTACCTCGGTTTTCTCATAATACAGCAATTTTATCGCCCCCAGAAAAACTCACCGACATTCAAGGTATTTGCTGATCGCATTGTGAAGGATAAGAAGCTTCGGGTCTTCCATCGCCTCGTCCTCACGGACACGCACAATAGTCAGCAGATCTTTTGGGATTGATCGATAACGTATCATGATTCGTTCAAGAGGTCGACGAATAACTGACAACGCTTCCTGGAATTCTTTATGCAAAATTTTGCAAGTAAGTATCGAGTCGCAAGTTTTGGAGTTTTCTCTCGAGCAAGGGTTGAGTCAGCCCTTAATACCTAAAGACATTTACCGTTTCCTTCCCATCAGCAACGATGCGGAGATCGAGCAGTTTCCGGCGGAATGCATCAACCACCTTAAAGACGCGATTTTGCTCTTCGAAATTTGTTCTCGGAGTAACCCTGGCTACGGTAAGGCATGATAAGATTTGAAACTCACGCTTCTACGCTCAATACTACTTATGCCGCCAAGAAAAGCCGTTCTCAGAATAAGACATGGTGCCTCTAACGTCACTTTGACCATATAGAAGTATACAGGCACATTGCTGTCTTTTCTGAAATGAGGCACTATCCAAAGATGGGGCATCTATACGCAGTAATTATGATATAAAGTCTTGGGCTAAGCGCTGCGTAACTTTGCTCGTGTTCGTTTTTGAGCAAGCTCGAATGAAGTAGTCGCATATAAAACTGAAGGTTTTCAACTTTTCGTGTAAGCTCGAATAAGAATCACGTAAATTGTAGTTTTCTAGTTACACTTTTACCAGTCGTATCGCCCGGCCAACGCTGGGCTCTCCTCCTGATTGTGTCAAAGTTCACCCGCCGTCTGTACTCCCCCAATCTTGAAATCTCTTGTCCAAGAAAACAGGAGCTATTGGTTTTTAGCGAAGCACACGCAGACAACACATACCGACACATTGCGCTGGATCTTTTCCCTCTTCTTCCATCTTGACAGCGTTCTTTTTTTCCAAAGCATGCCCATTTCAGCAAGTAGGCACCAGTGGGCACCTAATCCCTCCTACGCCTTCGCGGGCAGGATCTAATCCAGTTATTTCCTACTACCTACAATCGCTGTCTGATTGTGACATCTGCCACTTGCACTCAATCCGACTTTGAAAACCCCGGGTCCAAATTAGCCATTTTCGGGTAATTCTCGCCTCCTGCGGACGTAGTCAAGTTGTGCCACCTCCTGTCAGCATTCCCCTACAGCAGCGTTTTTTTTAGCCTGAAGAATTTGAGTGCCTCAGGTCCGAACTGCCAGTTTTCACTCACACCCCGCCCCGAGCGGAGTACTGTCATCTACCATTAGTGTTTCCATCCTGCCAATCTTGCCATCTTACCCCTACCAAATTTGAACGCTTTAGGTCGACGGGAACAGGAGTTAAAATTTTCGATCAACCCCGTCCACTGGCCCACTGTGGACAGCGTAGGTGTTCCCATCCTGCCGCCAGTATTCCTACTGAATTTGAACGCTCTATGTCCAGATGGACAGGAGTTATGAATTTTCGGTCAGACACACACAAACAAACACAATAACAAACACATTAGCGGGCTATACAAGTAGGATAGCGCATGATTCTGTTTGCTTGTTTGTCCTTCTGCCTGTCTGTCTGTCTGTCTGTCACGAAATTCGATATGTCTGCAGAAGCACTTAAAGGGATCGAGTAGAATTCGGGATGGGCTGGCTGTAGGGCAAGATCAGCACAGCATGTGTGAGCTTACAATTAGGGGAACACCGTTCATGGGGAGAAGAACACGCAACGGAAAGCTTCGCAATGGGAAAAAATTTCACAATTTACATCCAGAAAGGTGAAGACTGTGGAGACGAAAATGGGCGAAGATCGGGATCGAATGAACAAACCGGACGATGGAGGCTCTTCGGCGTAGAGACAGGTATTTTCAGAGGGCGGTACTTCCTAACACATAATGTATCACAGCCTTGAATTACAGGGTGCGCCATAACTATGGTACAACTTTACGAAAGTGTGCCATTTCCTCGCTTGGTGGAATTTCCCATATCTGCATTTTCTCATGTTCACCACTTAACTTAGCTCACATATGGCTTTGTGCTTGGACTCGTGCTTTCGAAAAATTGTGCGTCGCAATCATCCAGCAGCCGCTCGTCTATGCATGCATTTGGTGAGTCCTTCTCCGTAATCTCCCGTCGTTTCGGCATTTCTCGCAAGACAGCCTCCTGTACTGCGAAGCGTGGACAGGCCAAAGACAGGCCTTGAACGGTCGTCTTGCCTGGATTACGACTCTGTATTACGACCCCTTTCCAGATACATTCGCTTGAGAATGATTACGCTGCGAAACCTGCAGAAACACGAGAAAAATGACTGCCGAATTGAATATATGATCTTATTTAATGAGAATACTGTACAGTTGTATCCGAAAGATTTTGATGAGAGGAGTTTTTAGAGAAAGAACAAATACCGTTCTCTACTTGCACTCGGCACGAGCTTCAACACCCTATTTTCTGACAAAAAGGTGACGCAGAAGAAATGCTCAGTTTCCAGAGAAGAGATTTCTCACTAAAGTAACGAGGAAATTGACGCGAGTTAGATTGTTTCTCGTAGCCATTTCCCTCTCCAATGATGATTTGGGTGGAATCTGTGCCATCAGAGTGATATCACTTAATTTTGCCCAGAAAAGTATGAAATGCAATAGGAACTTCTTCAAGAAGGTCATTTCTGAGACGGTGCTGCTTAGGGTCACAGATTGCTGCAAGGAAACGATTAGTTAACACTCGCGCGCTCGCTCACGAATGAAAAAGATGAAGGCTGGAGAAATATTCGCAACCTCATCCCTGCCTACAATCGACCTACGATTTTTCCCGTGCGCAATCCTGAGGGTCTGTGGATATAGTGTGTGCTGTAGAGAGAAGCCTGCAACAAGAGATAGAACACCTCACTGTTGCAGCTCCAAAAAATTGACGAAAAAAGCCCGGGTTGGAGCTTCTCAAGAATCTCTGCGTGCTGCCGTCGATGATTAGTCGAAAGATTTTCGATTTATCATTAGTGCAGGAAACGGTTATATCAGATGGCTGTTCGATCACTTTCTTGATGCGATGCGTAGTGGACAGTTCACGTAAATTGGCTATAACAAGATGAATAGTGGTTTCTGCACGACAATTTTTTCACCATATTTATAGCGCATCCTGTCAAAATGTGTTGGTTTGTCGGCGTGTGTGTATGTATGTATGCATGTGTGTCTGTCTGTATACCAAGCAGCCACACACGCTATCGCGTGCGGTAGGGGCTCTAACTATGAGGGACGGAGCCACATGAGCTGATTTTCATTATAGCCTCTATCGGATTTATGAGTTTCCGTTCGAACCCCGCCTCGTGTGGGCGGAGTCCGGAGTCTGGTCTTGTCAGCAACCATAAGTGTTTCCATCCTGTCACCTGTGCTCCTACAAAATTTGAACGCTCTACAGGGTGGGCCAAAATTACGATTACAGCGCGCGCTGACGTTCATTGCAGATTTTTTCTATGTTCATAACAATTCATTGAATTTCTTCCATTTCACAAAGTAGCTTACTTTATTATCTTTCTAATGATACTAAACTTTGGGTAGATTTTTAAAATAATATAAGTGTAACTAGTCCGTGAATTAAGCGTCGCTTTGCATTTACAAACACTTTTGGCACGGTGCATCTACAGACGAACTAGCGAAACAAGGCAGGTATTGCATTCAACCATAAGACGCTCTCGAAAGTTGGGAACAATTGCAGATAGGAGTGGTGAACTTAGGAGAGCTGTGGTTATATTTAGTGGG